GAGATTATTAATATACACCTGAACATGTTTTCTATCAATTGACCAAATTTCAATTCAATAACGATTCAGTCAGAAATTATAATATTTTAAACATAAAACACATTGATTTTTACCTTTGGTCAATCGGTCTAATTTTCGCTGTATAGTTTGGTGAATTGACCAGAAATGCGCAACTCCTAAGAGTACATTAGCATCCGAGGCCTTTTCCTGAACTGTGTCAGAACAGGCAATAATTGCTGGATACATAGACCTAAAGATATGTTATTAAACAAGAAAATTGCATCAACATTTACAAAGTTTACAAATAAATGGCAGTTTGAATGTACTCTATGATACCTTTACGCACAGCAAGCAATCGGTGAAATCAAAACGCATGCACAGAGAATGTAGTCAGAAAAATTGCACCCATTAGCACTGCGATATGAATAACTTGCAGAGATATAAGAATTCAATATCCGATAAGCAACTCAGCATCTCTGTGTTTAATTTCTCTACAAGCTTTGAATTGTTGTAAAAGTTCTCTGGGAATAGCATTATACTCGTGGTGAGAAATCCGATTGATTTGTTTCGCAAAGTTATCGTAGCACAGATAGTTCAAATATCGTGCGCATTTTTTCCATACAGAATGCTCTTGCAGATTTAGCACACTACTGAAAATCTGAAAAACTTGCAACAGAATAATGCAAATGTCTTTGAAAAATTAAAAAGTGCATGTAAAAAGTGTTTAAAGTTTAAGAATCACTGCTAGAATTTAACACTTAACTGACAACATTGAGCTTGTGGAGGAGAGAGATGTATATGTTTAATCATCAGTGGGAAAGAAACATTTTTTTACAAATATAAACTGAAATTGTGGCTTTACATTTATTTGTATTACAGTTGCTGACCTTCTTGTTGCTTGAATCATTTCCGCCGCTTTTTATACCAATCGCTGACAATGTGAGCAAGCTCTTGGTCTTATTAGGAACGATTTTAAAAAAATTTCAAGTTTATCTAGAAGAGAAAAGTTCAATATGTTGTTTAAAGACAACCTACTAGCCGTCAAATTTATTTTTGTTAACGTACATAAAGGCTGTTGTAGTTTTTGGGGATGTACTTTTTTTAGGGCACCTGAGCCAAGGATAAAAAGAGCTTTTCTGATCAGAATTTGTCCGCTGTCTATCGTCGTTGTTCCAAACGTTTCACCTTTTCATTTTCTTCTCAAAAACCACTGTGTCAATTTCAACCAAACTTGATACAAAGTATCTTTGGGTAGTGGGGATTCAAGTTTGCTAAAATGAAGACACTCTCTACCATGGGCTCATACATTCATCTCTGTCGTTGGCTCGCGTGTATCACAGTGATAAGCACGAGAAATAGTGCGTCTCTTTTAATTTATTATGATTAAATGTCTGAGCTAATGATAGTCCTTAAGGATAGATATTTACGAAATAGATCTAATACTATTAGTTTACTTTGAAATAATCCTTGAAATGTTATGTTTTTTACGTTATGTCAAAAATCTTGACGCGAGCCCATTGCAGAGGTGTCTGAGAGAGGAACGAACGACAACTCTGCATAGGAGGTTGAAATGAAGGGCCACGCCTTCTTCCAAGGGGAGATAATTATGAATTCGTGAAAAATCAATGGCATCATTTAAAAATCTTCTTCTCAAGAACTGTGCCTGAAATATAAAACTTATGTTATGTGAAATCATTATGAGGTAGTGTAGATTCAAATTAATTTTTGTTCAAATCATGACCCTCGGGGATAGGGTAGGGCCTTATAATGGGTGATCAAAGTTTTACATAGGAAAAATCTTTAAAAATCTTCTTCTCAAGCACAGCCATGATTGGTCATAATTTTATGGAAGCATCCTCAGGTAGTGTAGATTCAAGTTTGTTCCAATCATGACCCCCGGAGGTAGCGTGGGGCCACAGTGGGCGATCAAATTTTACAAAGGAATACATAGGAAAAATGTTTAAAAATCTTCTCAAGAACAGCAAAGTAATGATTAGTCATATTTATATGGAAGCATCCTCAGGTAGTGTAGAATCAAGTTTGTTTAAATCATGACTCTCTGGGGGTAGGATGGGGTCACAATAGGTAATCAAAGTTTTACATAGTAATACATAGGAAATCTTTAAAATTCTTCTCAAGAACAGCAGAGTTATGATTGGTCATACTAATATTAAAGCATCCTCAGGTAATGTAGATTCATATTTGTTCAAATCATGACCCCCAGGAGAATATAGAGGGGCTATAACAGGGGATCATATTTATACAGAGGATAAAGGATATATCAATAAAAAATTTCTTCATAAGAACAACATAGCCAGTACATGTACGTGTCACATTAATTCAAAAGCATTCTTAGGAAGTGTAGATTCAAGTTTGTTCAAATCATACCCCTCCCTCCCCGAATCACTTTTATATTTAAACTTTTCAATGCTGAACCGATTTCTGATTTTCATAGCCAAATTAATCAGGTGAGCGATGAGGCCCCTGGGCCTCTTGTCTTATTTTTGTGCTAAAGGATGACGTTTACTCAGAGGGGAAACATCCATGGATAAGAATGAATAACCACCAATACGTTCTATTCCCACTATTGAAGAGTTATACTTCTTAGTGCGCTCTTTTGTGAAAAAGTCGGAAAATGTACAGATCTCGCGGGATTTCTGGGACAAACGTACATGTAACATAAACATGTAAACAATATGTTGAATGTCTATGAACAAATCCTAGCATAATGCAGATGAAATATTTTATTGTTGTGGAATTTATATACATGTAGAAATGACAACGATATCAATTTATATCTATTGTTGATCGTATGTTTCTATTTATCGTATGGTACATTTAAATACAATACACATGCTCGCGATCGGAAATGTCGTATCTTTCATCAATGGATGATAAATTTAGGGTTCTCGCTCTCTTACATATGTCTTTTAGTTCGTCTATTCTTTAACTGGGATGACAAATACATTTAACATTTAAAATTGGATTGAAGTTGGCATGTTTTGTATTATCCGCAACGCCATGCTGTCCAGTCCGACAACCAAACGCGCCTCTAATTTTGAAGAGTTCACTAATGGAAATCAAACGTATTGTACATTGTGGACCTATGATTGTAGTGATATTAACTAGGACAATTTCCTCTTTTTTTATGCTTGTGACCATTGCAGCTGAGTATTCATCAAGAAACAACTCTTTTCTACACTTTGATCAATATTTTCCTTATTTACTATTTATATATATAATATACATGTATATAACAATAATATATAAGATGTGTTTGTGAAACACTGATGCCCCGGTATGGCAACTTATAGCAAAGGTTAAACTTTCTCAAATGTAAATCAAATGTGTTGGTACCCAAAGTAAGGTCTTGTCTCGAGGAATTTACCTGTGAAATTTGAAAGTTCTAGCAGCAACCATTGAATAGATATGGCAAAAACCGGTTTAAGTTTTTTCAAAAGTATGTCAAACATCAAGGTCAAAATTCCTGGTGCCCAAGGAAAAGGCCTTCTCCCAAGAAATACACAGATGAAATATTAAAGCACAAATCGTTCAAAAGTTATGGCCAAGGTTAAAGTTTTCCAAAAGTAGGTCAAACGTCAAGGTCAAAGTTGTTGGTATCCAAAAGAAGGTCGTGTCACAAGAATTACACATGTGAAATATAAAAACCCTAGCACCAATCGTTCAAAAGTTATGGCCAAGGTTAAAGGTTTTCAAAAGTAGGTCAAACTCCAAGGTCAAAGTTGTTGGTATCCAAAGGAAGGTGTTGTCAAAAGGATTACATATGTGAAGTATGAACCGTTCAAAGGTTATGGCCAAGGTTAAAGTTTTTCAAAAGTAGGTCAAACTCCAATGTCAAGGTAAAAGGGTCAAAGTTGTTGGTATCCAAAGGAAGGTCTTGTCACAAGGATTACATATGTGAAGTATGAACCGTTCAAAGGTTATGGCCAAGGTTAAAGTTTTTCAAAAGTAGATCAAACTCCTAGGTCAAGGTCAAAAGGTCAAAGTTGTTGGTATCCAAAGAAAGGTCTTGTCACAAGGATTAAACATGTGAAGTATAAAAGCCCTAGCACCAACTGTTCAAAAGTTATGGCCAAGGTTAAAGTTTTTCAAAAGTAGGTCAAACTCCTAAGTCAACGTCAAAGTTGTTGGTATCCCAAGGGAGGTCTTGTCACAAAGATTCATATGTGAAGTATGAAAGCCCTAGCACCAATCGTTCAAAAGTTATGGCCAAGCTAGGTTCAAGTTTGGTAAAATTTTGAAAAAGTGGGTCAAACTTCAAGGTCAAATATGACGGTACCCAAAGAAAGGTCTTGTCACAAGGAATACACGTGAAATATGAAAGCCATAGCTCCAACCAATCAAAAGTTCTGGGCAGTGTTAAAGTTTTTGCGGACAAACAGACAGACAGACGGACGGACAGGGCAAAAACTAAATGCCCCCGAATCTTCGATTACGGGGGCATAATAAAATAAAATATTACAAATAAGAAAACCCATTTAATTCATATAATGACTTAAAAGTGAAATATGTTTCTAAGCATAAATAAACAATTATAGTTTTAGCTATAAATTTCTAAAATATTACATTTCGAATTTCCACTGTTAATTTTTTCTAATTTCCTCCCATTTTTAATTGTTTCAAAAATCTTAATGATAGGAACTCTAAACTATTTATAACCTCAATTAACTTAAAATGCCCTTATTCTGCTGGTATTAAACTTATATAAGGTCAATGATCAATAACGTTCAGATATGTTATCTGGAATGGGTTTTGTTAGCATTTATAATATTCTTTATGGCATGTCATCTAATTATTTTAAACAACCTACGAGCTAAAACACACATAATATTTGCTAAGTAACACACAGAATCTTAACTTTCAGAATTACGTGTATGTTGTAAAAAAAATGTGGAAACGATTAACAAACAAAAGAAGGTAAACCCCAATTTTCAATAATTTGATCTTTGCAGATGAAAAAGTGCTCCTCCCTCCCAGGTCTGACACCTATGTTCTAAGAAATTGAACTCTTCATAAAATATGTTTAATTGATCAATATCAAATGTTTATTCTTCATCTTAACAAGGTAGAAGATGTAAGGGGTAATTAAATTATGTTATTTATAAACTGCTTAAATTAAATATGAAATATTTATTGTTCAATTTTATTTCAGGCTGTTGGAGAGAAGCTGAAGGCACAGTGGGAGGATGGATTCTTTTACAGAGGCAAAGTCCAAAGTGTTGACGGAAGAGGTAATTTTTGTAAAGTGTAATAATATGTTGTATTTGTGTGTATCTCAAAATTAATTTATATCATTATGCTGTTTATATAAATTAGCAAAGTTTAATTAATAAAAACATTGGTTAAAAGAATTGATATCCATGCATGCCATAGTAATGCTGGCATCATTAGTTGCATTACAGAGTGCAAAAACTACATTATTTGGCTTTGATTGTAAACCATATATTCTTGAAACTTGTTTTGTTCAAAACAATGAATACAGATATTATATTACATTTATCTGTTTTTAGAGGTAACCGTGCTGTTTGATGATGGTGATGTGGGGAAAGCAACATGTCTGAAGTTCTGCTGAGGTAAGAAAAATTATAGAGGGAAAAGTGATTTAAAAGAAACTTCTTTTCAAAATAAAGGAGGTTTTGAAATTTGAACATTTTTGTGTATTTTTATATGGAGCTCTAGCTCTAAAGGAGATCAAAATAGTCTGAAAATGGTTGCAACCCCCAGCCCCTTTAGCCATGTATCAGATGAAAAAAATCAATGTTTTTCATATTTTCATTGTGCTTATTTGAATTTGAAAAATGGTATTTTATCTTTTATCTAAGCTATAAAATTTGCATTTGCAACTGAATTCAAAATACATTTTTTTCCGGGGCTATTGTGACGTGACTGAAGTGAACATCATGGTTTATAAACCTTAGCTTTTTAGGTGTTGAAAGATTATCATTCTATCAGTATTAATTTCTTTTCTTTTTTTTTAGCCTCATAGCTGTTTTTCCCAGTCATCCCATGGCCATATCATCATTTCATGTATAAAGCAGATAATAAATACTTATATTTGTCTTTATTTTGTTATGTATAAATGATATCTGTTACTGTACAATAAATATTTATGCTTCTTTATTTTGTTGTTGTTTTCATTTTAGAGCTTAGTCTTTGGTGAAAAGAGCACTGAGATACTCTGGTTATGCAATTGTAATTTTATTGACATTCGAAAAAATTAAAACAGCTTACGTACACGTCTTATCCATTAGTGTCATCGTAGCCTGTGAGGCTGTGTGTGTTTTTTTTTGGGGGGGGGGGGTATAAACTTCGTATATTTAGTGATTGAGCTGGTGATAACAGAAGACTATATTTGGTTTTAATGAAAATTCAGAGTAGAGTAAGCATACTTAATCACAAAGGGCACATCCATTTGGCAAGACACTGCTCTCCATAAATCATATTGATCGGGATCGTAATTCCTTTAAGTGTAACACCAAGATGGACGTACGAAAAGCAAAACACTGGTGCAAAGTGAGAAATCAGCTTGAGAAGTATGGGTTATTTTAGGTCAAATCAGTGTTATAAGACGAGAGACTTAAACTTGTTCAATACACTTATACATATGTATAGAAGTACTGGCCGCATAACTTATAAAGGAATATTTGAACAATTGACAGGAAGGCTCACGGGCACTGGAAGTTAATGTAAATATAAAGTATTTGCAATTATAAAAAAAGAAGACTTTATACATGCGCATACTATATATTTACATTAAGTTTTAGTTGTTGACAGGGTAAACACATCATTCAGTTGCCATTTTGCTAGAAGTGAAATGCATTTTGGTATTTAACATGATTCTGTAAAATAGCAAGAGAAAATATATTATAGAACACTTTAAAGAACTAAATATGTTTGTAAAACATTTTTTGCCCTGCTCCACCAAATAATTGGAATATTTATAAGTCAACAGGACAAAAATTGGTCTATTAAGTCTCGACCATTACCAGGACAAAACTTGACCTAGATATTCATATGATAGATATAACAAATTTCATTTCAATGTGTACAACCACTGCAAAGAAAATGAATGGCAACTGATGGTGGACAAACGGATCAACGGTAGCAAGGCAATATGCCTTCCCTTCTTCAGAGGAAGGTGGGGGGTAAATAACAAAAAATAATAATGAAAAAAATTATACTTTGAGTATACTACATGTATAGTACATGTTACATTCTTGGGCACTAGAAATAAAACACCACTCTTAACAGTGCTTAAGGTTACTTATTGTGTTAATTTCAGATTTATTATATATCTAATAGGTTGGTGGGATAATTTCTCCCATCACATGCCAAAAACATGGGATAAATCCTATATCAACATCAATTAGTGGGATATTTTGTCCTGTGGGAGAAATAATCCCATTTTAGCAACAACCATGGGATTTTTTTTCCCATGCGGGAGAAATTATCCCACAGTACTTTTTCTCCCATGGGATTTTGGTGGGATTTTTGGTGGGATGAAAAATCCCCCCATTCTCCCATGGGATTTTAGGTTTTGACAGAGGTTAATAAGAAAACTACTACAATGTGGAAGTTGATATTGACATGATGAGGTCAGAATAAAAAATCCCACCAAAATATAGAAGAAATTCTAATGTAGGTCTTTTCGAAAGGGTACCTAAAAGTCCGGACTCTGTCGTGTCCGGACTTAAATGTCGCAGTGTTTTAAATAATAAAATTTTGTCAGAATTTCCTATGCATCATTATAAATCTACCCATGATGTTGCATATCTTTATATGTATTTATAAAATTTGAGCATTAATATTTATTTTATTACATTGTTATTCTTTCCATTTACAGCAATTTTTGATTTGATATCATCATTACGTAAGATACTGCACTTTATAGCAGTCCATTTTTGTCAACCCTGAGTAAGCGTTATCTTTAAAGCAATATGAGCTGCATTTTTGAGAATTTTATTTTGCTGTTAAAATGTGCTGTTATTATAAATCTGTATGTAATTTAATCCTTTATGATCAATTAGACTAAAATAAAGTATTAATTTTCTTCAGAAGAAAGATTTCTGTACAATGGAATGTATAGTATTATATAAGAAATCAATATTGTACAGGTCGACAATAATGTAATTTTGCTTTAATCAAAGTGTGCTTCGCAAATATGAACAGAAGTTTATAAACGTTCTTTTATTCTGCCATTGAAATAGTTAATTACAATATTGCAACAAATATTTCCGACATCAAAGTTGCAGCTCATATTGCTTTAAAGTGATTAATTTGTAAGCTTATGAAATTATTTACCTCAATCGCACGACTTATTTAGTTCCGACAATGTAATATCTCATTTTCATACTTATTTTCACATTAGTTCATTATTCTCGTTCATACAATACGATCATTTTCCTATGGAAGACATTTTATATTACTTTGATTTTTGTGAACAGTTGAAATTGAACTCTTAATAGTGATGCTTAAGGACTCATCCGAAGGACCCGCAACTTTCACTTCAAAGAGCGCTTGGCGAAGGGACAGTTGCTACCAATTTTTATCGACTTAGATCAGTCGCGGTCGAGATTCGAACTCACATCTTCCGATCACGGAGCAAACGCTCTACCGACTGAGCTACTGTAACGGTCCTTACTGAATGAAAGATAATTAATGAGAGTGCAACTCAGTCTTAACTTGAATACCAGTATTATTTCCAAAGGAACTTTCGAGTTCATGCAACATTGTACAGCACTTAATTGATGTATATAAGGAGACCACTTCTATAAGGATGCCACTTCTATCGCAATGCAATGATTTAGTTCTTACTCATGTAAGAAATTGCTTTAAACAGAGTAAATGGTCCTTCACTCAAGCAGAAATTAATTTTCAATACCTGAATTTCTGTCGTTTTAGTATAACATTAAATATTTAACAATTAAAATATAGTTCGTGAAATCACTTCGGGCGAGACCCACAATGGAGCGAAAAAAAAATCTTGTCAACCTTCTATGGACAAACATAATATTTCCCAGCAGGAAAATGTATAGCTTGTCCTCAAAATACCATCAGAGCTGTGTTAATAAACTACGTTGTTTTCATCTTGACTGCTACCAAAACACCACGTTACAATCCAAGTATCCAAATCACCAAATTTACAATGAAAAATTTCACTTGAAAACACGCATGTTTAAATTCAAAATGAAACGTTCTTCCAGCAAATGAATTGAAATGAGTTTCTGAACATTTTGAAGCAAAACTGAGAAAAAAATGTATATACTAGTAATTTACAAACCTGTGCGTACATTGTATGAAATAACTGCGAAAAAAAAAAATGAAATCATATTTCAAAGGATATTTGTTGAATCGAAAGTCATGTGTTTTCAGAAACCGGATTATTGGATATTCTTTCATCTCAGAAAGTGTTATCATTGGGTCGAAATAAGAGGCTCCTTTTGATTTCTAGGCACATTTTCATTGCAATCCTTCGAGAATCGGAAATACGGCCTGGATCATACAAACTGCCCACCAAAAAACCCAACTTCAAACATTTGCAATATGTCGCCAGTTACATTGCATAACTCATTACCCAATGTAAACGTGTCTTATCTTTCATCTCTGACGAAGAATGAGATGAAAAGGTCTTTTGCGATCAAGCCTGCATTAGCGATATTGAAAATGTTTGCATATACCCATGTTAATTTTGTTTGCGGCCTTTTGGGAGTTGTAGTTTTGGAATCTCGATTGGATTGAATGGGGTGTATATCGGTTTTCTGTGGGAAAAGAAGAGGGTCAAGGATACAATGACAATTTTTGGATCGATGTTATAAGTCGTCAATTTCCACTTTTGGAATGTCAGATGGCAATGGCATAATTATTTTTGTCTCCAGATTCCAAAATTATCATGCTTCTGTTATATAATTTATTTGAACGGTGACCGGGTTCAAACCAGAGATTTAACAATCTCTTATCTGGAAATTTTACTGGTTAAAGCACCTATCACCGTTGAAAATAAGTGTAAAACTTTCCGGAAACAATGAAACATTACCAGAAGTCTCTGATGAGACTGTAGCTTTACTGTTCTCTACTTAGAACAAAGGAAGAGAAAAGTAGCACTTGGACTTGTATAAAATAATGACCCTTGGTTTAGTCTCTTTTTGTGGCAAGATTTATTGCAATCAGACTAAAACTGTATCAGAAGCCTTCTGCAAGTATTTCACAGAACTTTCTATTTTTAGTAACCATGGCAACACCGTTCATGGAAATCAAAACCGATAAACAGAAGTATGTATCTATGTATATTTTACTCGTGTGACAAGTTATATTGAAATTAGTTTAAATCTGTAGGAGCAGTAGCGTGTTAAAAGTATTTCACAGAAATTTCTATTTTTAGAAATTTCTTGTGTGGGAACACTGTTCAATGAAATTAAAAACTGATGAAGAGAATTATGCATCCAAGTGTAGTCTACTTGTGTGCTAAGTTACTGTACGTAAAAATAAATTGGCGTATTCAAAATTTAGCGCTATCACTGGGTATTGAGTTGTTGGCGTATTCATGAATAAGCGCTACACACAAACGTGCCATATATAGTATTTATAAATGTTTTATTGGCGGTATTCATAAATTATCGCATCGTTGTCCGCGCCAAAGCTGCTAAAATATGAAGCCCATTATTTTAAGTACACATACAGTATATTGAAATCAGACCAAAGCTGTAGAAGAAGTAGCATTTTGAAAGTATTTCACAGAAATTTCTATTTTTAGTAACCATGGCAACATCGTTCCTGGAAATCAAAAACCGATGCAAAGAGTTATGTTTCTCAGTGTAGATTACTTGTGTGCCAAGTTATATTGAAATCAGACCAAAACTGTAGGAGCAGTAACATTTTGAAAAATTGTTTACAGACGGAGGGACGACGGACACCTTTCATTTGTACAAGCTCCTCTGGTTTCTGACCAGTAGAGCTAAAAATGCTAATAATGGAATGTAGGTCGGTAGGGTTAATTCTGGAAATTCAAAAGTTTTATGCTTGTCAATTGCAAGGAACAAAAGCATCAACAATAGGTAATGCCCAAATCTTTAGAATAAAAATGATTGACATTATTCATCAATCGGATCGTGTTCAAAAGCTACTCGCACTCTTCAAATCTTTCCAATTCAATGTTTGAGGATATATCAACGATTAAAGTTAGATCCATCATTTTCCTAATTTCTGTAATGCTTCGAGAATTTAAGATACGGATTTAATAGCTTATCCTGGATTTATCAATTAG